AATAAATAAATAAATAAATAAATAAATAAATAAATAAATAAATAAATAAATAAATAAATAAAATGTACCCAAACATTAGCCAGAGAAGGTGGAAGACTTTTTCCAGACGAAGGCATACCCGGACCCTTGTCCTACCCACATTTTCTTCCCCAGATGTTTACACTAGGTTGTGAGCAGTCCCTGGTGACATCACTCAAGGGGAGGAGGACACAGTGCCCTAAGAGGGCTAAGGTTCTCAAGAGATTAAAATGTCTACTTGCATGGCCCTTCGGTTTGTTGTTTCTATATTTCCTTCACATGAATTGAATGTAGCTATTTACATAGTTTTTCTACCCAAAATGTCAATTACACTTTAGAGAGAATTGTTTCTTATTATATATACTTCTATTTTACAAAACTAATTTTTCCATAAGGTCTTCTAAATGCTTGTTAATTATCATCTTTTCTAATTTTGTATTTTACATGTATGTATGTTTGCCTGAATATACACATGTGCACCACATGTGGGACTGTTTCTGAGGAGGCCAGAAAGGGGTACAGAATCCTCTGGAACTGGACTTGCATATGGCTGAGTGGCCATGTGGGTGCTGGGAACTGAACCTGGGCCTTACACAAGAGCAGCAAGTGCTCCAGCGCCCATTATTTCTTCAGGAACATGATTTCTAGAAAAATAATTGCAACACACAGGTTTCATTCAAGGCAAGAATATACCATAAACACATTATGTACAATTTATTTCACATATGCAAGTTTAAAGAGTTCTAACACAGCCACACTCATTATTTTTAGCAGCAGAAAGAACAGAGACTCAATGACATTCAAGAAAGTGTGCCAGCTTAAAGGCTGTAGCTTTTCCCAGATTGGCTTCTTCTTCTTCTTTTTTCTTCAGACTGTTCAGAAAATTGAAATTGTTACTATATTCTCTTTTGGTACCATATTTGCATTTTTCTTTTGAAATTATCACCTCTATTCCTAGAAACAACTTCATTATCAACCTCATCATTTTTTTTTTGAATGAGCTTGATATCTTAGTTGCTTTTCTATTGCTGTGAAGAGATGCTATGACCAAGGCAAATTTTGAAAGAAAGCATTTAATTGAGTGCTTACTTACAGTTTTCCATGACCATCATGGTGGGGATCATGACAGCAGGCATGGTACAATAGCTGAGACCTTTTATCTTATCTGGAAGTTAGGGAGAGAGAGAGAGAAGAGAAGAGAGACAGAGACAGAGTTGGAGAGACAGAAACAGACAGAGAAAGAAAGAGTGAGATAGAAAGAGAGATTGAGCTTAGTGTGGGCTTTTAAAACATCAAAACCCATTCCCAATGGCACACCTCCCCCAACAAGACCACACCTCCTAATCCTTTCCAAATAGTTCTACCAACTGGGAACTAAGCATTCAAATATATGAGCCTATGGGGGCCATTCTCATTCAAAACCATCCTCAATCTCATTGACACCTTTTAAAATCATGGAACATGGGTGGTTAGGGTACAGAAGGACACATCACAGTTGTGAGACTTACTCTTCTGAAAAAAGTAATTGTGGTCAATAAAAACATTATTTTTATATTTATCCTTGGCATTTAAGGGGATAGTCCCATTTTTCTCAGCTTCAGGTAGGCACTGTAATGTTGAACCAAGCTAAAGTAATGTCTGTAACTAGGCAGCCTTTTCTCTTTCATCAAGAATAGACTCATTAGAGAGAAAGAGCTCTCCAAATAATATCTCATATGGTTAAATATAATGTCTGAAGACTGTTAATAAAAATATACCTATCTTTTTAATCCTTGTTATTCTTTCCTGCTTGATGTTGAGGACCAGGTAGGTGGCTGGAATTAACCCTTTACTTTTTTAATGTCAAGACCTGTTGAATATCGCTTCTTGTGCATTTTGGGGGCTTGGGAGGAGCTTCTGGCTTCTCTTGTGTTTCTTTTGCCAGTTCATCTATGTGATAAGTCAAAGGCCATGCTTGGCTCGTGTTTCACACGAAGTGTGGAGAAATATTTCTTTTCTGCTGCCTCCTTGCTCTCTAGACTGCACACTATTACAGTCCCCTCAGTGGTGTGTCCATGAGCTCCCTGAACAACAACAGGTGATCTCCACAGACTTCTGAGAGGTGCTCCACAGTCCACTGGGACTAAGGGAACCTTGGAGGTGAAGAAGGACAACATTCTTTCTTAATCACTTTGACTGCATCAATACTCCAAGTACTGAACACTGGCTAGTTATACCAGTCTGCTAGTTCTTATTACTGTACAATATTAAGATAAAGCTTGAGCAGAAATCAAGCCCTTTAAATAAGCCTTGATTAGTGGTTTACATACCCTAAATAATTTATTCAGACACTCATAACTTATAACTTTTTGAGTTTTTTTCCATTTTGAAAAATAATCTACTATTTTAATTTTTAGACACAAGTCTCTTTTACTAAGAATATTTTATTTGTATATTCTAATATTTTACTGTTTTTTTTTAATAGCGTGAGACATAGGAACACCAACAAATAAATTCCTCATCTGTCTTGAAAATTTGGGGGTTGAATTTAGCAGTGTCTATCCCCTCTTCAAAAGGCTCCAGAGACAAACTAAGTTCTGGCTTTTCCAAAGCTCATCTTGTTCCCAAGATGAATGTGTATGATTTGCTTACAGATCCCAGGTAAGGAGTTACTCACAGGAGCATTCTGAATGCAGCTACACTGGAGAGGTCTTTACCTAGTCCATACCGATGATAGCTTTCCTACAACTGCATACTTGGAAGCTCTCTTATTTAGCCTTTTAAACCCATATATTCTAGTCCCCCAAACCACTGAGCCAAGTGCAGTGAAGGCACAATTGCATGCTATTTGGGAGGAGTGGTTGGGTACTTAAGTGAGGGTACGATGACCCTGTGCTGTTAGGGATCACTTATAATTAGCAAATTCCAGTGTGTTGGATTTTTGCAAGCAGTCACTCCTGAACTAATAAAGGTGATAGTCACTCAGCTTAGAAGCTAGCACTGTGCAAAATCTCTTAAATTAAGCAAAGTTGAATCCAAACTACATATATAGGGTAATATAATGTCATGCCTAGTTTTATGCCAACTTGACAAAAACTAGAATTATATGAAAGGAGGGAACCTCAACTGAGAATATGCCTCCATAAGATCTGTCTGTAAGGCATGTTGTTAATTATTAATTAGATGGTGGAGAGCTCAGCCCATTGTGTGTGGGCTAGTGGTACTGAGTTCTATAAAATCACGCTAGGCAAGACATGATGAGCAAGCCAATAAGCAGCACTCTTCCATGGATTCTATATCAGCAACTGCCTGTAGTTTCCGGTCCTCCTTGAGTTCCTGTCCTGACTTCTTTCAATTATGGATACAATGTGCAAGTGTAAGCCAAATAAACCCTTTCCTTCCTTCCCAACTTGTTTTTGGTCATGATGTTTCATCACAGCAACAGGAACCTTAACTAACACATATATCAAATAAGGACTGCCTATGCATTTAGAAAACAAGCACATTTTAGCAAGAGTTTTGACAGATTATTGAAATAACTTTGAAGAAATATCCTCTACAAATAACAAAAGGCAGAAAAGAAAACACACACAGAGAGCCAAAAATCCTTATATGTTTATCTTGTAATTATAGTCTTAGATCATAGAGGACATCCATTTCCCCCATTTTTACTAGGATAGATTAGCGTACAGCCCATGGCTAGAAATCCACTTTCTCTCTCTCTAGTTCTACCTTGAACTTTATTAAGGATTTCTGGTAGAACCCAATAAAAGCAATCCTGGCTCTCAAGCTAAGGGACTAACCTTTTCTTTGTTATTTTATTTATAGTTTCACAGTCTGGAAAACAATCTACCCTAGTTATGCTTTTGGTTTTGAATGCATGTAAGCCGCAGATAAAGAAAAGCAGCAGATGCACAGCAAAACATTCTCAAACCCATTCCTACAGCCTACCCTAGTAATCAGCTAAGGAAGCCCTGTCAGAACTACAATACTGAAATCACTAGTTGAAACTTCCAGGCAGAAAATCCTCTCCATCACACTAGCTGTCTTTACCATACACATCTCTGTGTAATGAGATAAACAGTAGTAACCTATGCTGGAAATAGTTAAGCCCTTAGCTTCCCTTAAGAACACAATGCCTTTACTCTTGAGCTGCATCATTGTTCTCCTTTTCCTTGTCACAGAGTGACCCAGTAAGGGGATTGGGTAGATATTGAGGCAAACATGCTTGAATTTGAAATGAGTGCCAAGTCCCTTCCCCAGAGCCAGCTTCTCTGTGAGCTTAACAAGCACAGGGCAGTGTGCCAATATGGCATATATAAAAACAGGTATTTTCTGCTCTGTGAAACTGAACTCACTGGCTTATATTGGACAGGAAATTTGCTGTTTAGCCTTACCACACCTGGCTGGACCAAACATACCTGTACTCCCTATCAACCTGCATAGAGTTGTTCAGATGAGTCATAGCTGCTTGCCCACTCTTTGGAAACAGAAACTGACAAAATTC